GGAGTTTCGCTCTTGTTGCCCAGGCTGGAGTGCAATGGTGCGATCTCAGCTCACTGTATCCTTCGCCTCCAGAGTTCAAGGGATTCTCCTGTCTCATCTTCCCGAGTAGCTGGGATTACAGGCATGTGCCACTATGCCCAGCTAATTTTGTATTTTTAGTGGAGATGGGGTTTCTCCATGTTGGCCAGGCTGATCTCGATCTCCTGACCTCAGGTAATCTGCCCACCTTGGCCTCCCAAATTGCTAGGATTACAGGCATGAGCCACTGCGCCCAGCCACTCCTTTAATCTTTTCATGAAAAGAGAATACGATACTAAAATGGAGCTGTTTGAAGGTGAGATTATTCAGTAACTAATTCATATTTTATCTAACTCATAGATCCACAGAAGAGCAAGAGCCTTGAAGAAACTTGCAAAACAACTAATGGAAGGCAAAGTTGTTCTGTCTTCTAAATCTCTTCAGAATTACATCATGCCTTATGCCATGACTCCAATTTTTGATGAGAAAATGCTCAAGGTAGGTCATTAGATCTAGAAACTGAGGACCCTCTTCCCATACCGTGACACCCTTTGCCAAAATATAGATGGAGTTGGTGGTGTTTATGTTGATGTCACCACCATAATTAGAGGTTTAGTATAGTTCTAAAGCTCTTAGAACTGTGCCTGACACATAGTAAATGCTATCTAAATGATGGCTATTATTTGTGTTTTTTTTCTATTATTAGCTCACAAAGGCCCACCACAAAATATTCTTCCTCCTAGAAATTATCACATTATTAAAATTGCATACTTTTATTTTTGTGTCATAGGACTTAAATCTGGTTAACTACCCTAGTGAGCAGTCATTATTTTCGCAAATGACTTACAAGAAGTGAAATGAAATAGTAGTTATCATTAACACCGTACCAGGTACCAGGCACTATTTCAAGTGCTTCATTCTCACAACAACTCAACCCTCAGGAGTAGGGTAGGGACTATTCTTCAAGTACTATTTTACAGGAGAGCAATCTGAGAAGAAGTGAGGTTACATAACTTTCTCAGAGACGCCCAGAGTCGGAACAGATATTCGAACTTAGGGCTGTTTTAACCTTTATATTATACAGTGCCTAGAATGGTACCTGGCACATAGTAAAGACTAGATAAGTAATTATTGATTAAAAAGATTAATGAGGTCAAGTGCAGTGGCTCACACCTGTAATCTCAGCACTTTAGGAGGCCAAGTCAGGTGGATCACTTGAGGTCAGGAGTTTGAGACCAGCCTGGCCAACATGGCAAAAACCCGTCTATACCAAAAATGTAAAAATTAGCCAGGCATGGTGGTGAATGCCTGTAATCCCAGCTACTCAGGAGGCTGAGGCAGGAGGATCACTTGAACCCAGGAGGCAGAGGCTGCAGTGAGCTGAGATTGTGCCACTGCACTCCAGCCTGGGCAACAGAGCAAGACTATTTAAAAAAAAAAAAAAAGATTAATGAAAGGTGGTATTAAATGATCATAGAAATTCAAATCTAATTGCAGTAATGTCAGGATTTGGGACTTAAATTTATACTGTTGATTACATAGCCTTATACAATAGTAGATTTCTTCTGTTGTTTCAGGATATTCAAAATGTTTAAAAGAATTATCTAAGTAGTTAAAAGATAGCTCCCTTATATTCTGGTTTAAAAACCTAGTAAGCATAACCTAACTGTTTGATGCCATTGAAATATGAATGGCATGTAGACAGGAAAAAAAAAATAAAGTATACTTAGCTTTGGTTGGTGTTCACATGATATCTCCTTTTTTTGAGATGGAGTCTCACTCTGTCACCTAGGCTGGAGTGCAGTGGTGCAATCTCAGCTCACTGTAACCTCCACCTACCAGGTTCCAGTGATTCTTCTGCCTCAGCCTCCTGAGTAGCTGGGATTACAGGTGCCTGCCACCACGCCCAACTAATTTTTGTATTTTTAGTAAAGATGGAGCTTCACCATGTTCACCAGGTTGGTCTGGAACTCATGACCTTAGGTGATCCACCCACCTCGGCCTCTCAAGGTGTTGGGATTACAGGCGTGAGCCACCGTGCCCTGCCAGTATATCCTTTTCTAGACTTATATTTTTAACCTAATTATGACTTTACATTTAAAGTTGGTTTCTTATTGGTAGCTTTTGACTGAGTCTTGCTTTTTATCCAGTGCAACTACCTTTTAATTGGTATTTAGACCATTCGCATTTAATATGATTATTTATAAGATTGTGTTTTGATCTGAGTCTTGTTATTTTCCATTTGACCCAATTTTTTCTTTTTTTCTCTTTATCTTTTTTTCTGTTGGATTAATTATACTTTTTTGAGATTTTATTTTATCTCCATTGGCTTATTAGTTATTGAGGGATTTTTGCCGTAGGTTTTTGCCTCTCCATTCATTTTAAACTACACAGTACATTGTTGTCATTTTTGCTTTAAGTAGTCAATTATCTTTTAAGGAACTCTTTGAAAATAAAGAAAAGGTCTTTTATATTTGCTTACACATTTATAGTTTCTGGTGCTCTTTGTTTCTTTGTGGAGTTGCAGATATTCATCTGGTATCATTTTTCTTCTTTTAATTATATTTTAAAAATTTCTTATTTATTTGTTGTGGCAGGAAACAAAGGAGGATTTTTTTGTTGTTGTTTGTTTTTTGTGTGTATGTGAGTTTTTTGTTTTTTTGTTTTTGTTTGTAGAGACAGGATCTGCTTTGTTGCTCAGGCTGGTCTTAAACACCTGGCTTCAAGCAATCCTCCCACCTCAGCCTCCAAAGTACTGAGATTACAGGCATGAGCCACTGTACCTGGACTTCATTTTATTTCTGACAAGAGGACTTCTCTTAATTTTTAGTCCAGGTCTACTAGTGATTCACTCTTGCAGCTTTTGTTTGTATTTGCTTGTCTTTGTTTTTGCAAGATAATGTTGCTGGGTATAGAATTGTCGATTGATAGGTTTATTGTGTTTTTGTTTTTGTTTTTTCCTTCTAGTACTTCAAAGATGGTGCTCAACTGTATTCTGGCTTGTATTATTTCCAATGAGAAGTCATTCTTAACTTTGTTCCCCCGAATGTAATGTGTTTGGGGGTTGTTTGTTTTTGTTTTGTTTTTTTGTTTGTTTGTTGTTGTTATTGTTTGGCCTGGCCCTTGTAGACAGTTTCTGGGTTTTTTTCATAGAGTTTTTTCTTACCTGCTTTTAAAAATGTATCTCTTTACCTTTGGTTTTGTGCCATTTGATTATGAGTACCTTAGTGTCGTTTCCTTTATGATTCTTGTGCTCAGGGTTCATTGACCTTCTTGAATATGTAGATATGTAGTTTGCATAAAACTTGACAATTTTCTTTTCTTTTTTTTTTTTTTTTTTTTTTGCGATGGAGTTTCGCTCTTGT